CTGAGTAGCTGGGATTACAGGCACGCGCCACCATGCCCAGCTTATTTTTTGTATTTTTAGTAGAGACAGGGTTTCACCATGTTGACCTGGATGGTCTCGATCTCTTGACCTCGTGATCCACCCGCCTTGGCCTCCCAAAGTACTGGGATTACAGGCGTGAGCCACCGCACCCGGCCTTTTTCTTTGTTTTTTTGAGTTGTTTTTATGTGTGTGTGTGAGATGGAAGCTCGTTCTGTCACCCAGGCTGGGCACAACAGAGTGAGGTGGCAGGATCTGGGCTCACTGCAACCTCCGCCCGCCAGGCTCAAGCGATCCTCCTGCCTCAGCCTCCTGAGCACCTGGGGACACAAGCATCCCACCGCGTCTGGCTAATTTCTTTTGTATATTTTGTAGAGTCGGAGTTTCACCAGGCTGGTCACAAACTCCTAAGCTCAAGTGATTTGCCAGCCTCAGCCTCCCAAAATCCTGGGATTCACAGGCGTCCACCACCACACCCAGCCTAATGTTTTGTATTTTCAGTAGAGCTGGGGGTTTCACCGTGTTGGCCAGGCCCTTAGTACTTGGTGAGGATAGTCCTTGTTACCTCTTTTGTTTTTTTAGACAGGGTTTTGCCCTGTTGCCCAGGCTGGAGTGCAATGGCATAATCTCAGCTCACGGCAACCTCCGCCTCTTGGATTCAAGCAATTCTCGTGCCCCAGCCTCCCGAGTAGCTGGGATTACAGGCGTGCGCCACCGTGCCCGGCTCATTTTCGTATTTTTAGTGGAGACAGGGTTTCACCATGTTGGCCAGGCTGGTCTCAAACTCCTAATCTCATGATCTGCCCGCCTCGGCCTCCCTAAGTGCTGGGATTACAGATGTGAGCCACCGCACTCAGCCAATTTTTGTATTTTTATAGAGACAGGGTTTCACTATGTGGACCAGGCTGGTCTTGAACTGCTGAACTCAGGTGACCCGCCCGCCTCGGCCTCCCACAGTGCTGGGATCACAGGCTGAGCCTCCAGGCCTGGCCAGTCCTTGGTTCTTTTTGAAGAAGGGCTGCATTCTTGCTGTACACACCCCGAGTCTCACCCCTCTCTGTCCACAGGTCACCACGGACCTGCATCACCGGTGCACGGACAAGCACACGGGCACCTCGGCCTCAGCCCCACTGGCGGCAGGCATGATCGCCCTGGCACTGGAGGCCAAGTAGGTGACTGTGGGGCCCTGCCCACCACCCTCGGCCCCCAGGTGTGGCCCCCGGCTCACCGGCCCCCGACGCCCCCAGCCCGTTCCTGACGTGGAGGGACCTGCAGCACCTCGTGGTCCGCGCGTCCAAGCCGGCGCACCTGCAGGCTGAGGACTGGAGGACTAATGGCGTGGGGCGCCAAGGTGCGGTGGGGCTGGGTGGGGGCGGGGACCCCAGACCCGCGGGGCGAGTGACGGCCACCCTCCTGCACAGTGAGCCATCACTACGGCTATGGGCTGCTAGACGCCGGGCTGCTGGTGGACACCGCCCGCACCTGGCTGCCCACCCCACCGCAGATGAAGTGCACCGTCCGGGTCCAGAACAGCCCCACGTGAGCCCCTGCCTGCCCCTCGTGCCCTGTCAGTAAACGTTGCCATCGCCGCTGGGGGTGTGAGGGGAGGCCTGAGGCCTCAGTTTACCCATCTGTAAAATGAAGGCTGGACCCCGTGACCTCTGAGCCCTGACCCACCTGCTGGCTGCCCACCCCCCAAGCAGCCGCAGGAGGGTCCTCACCCCCCGCCGCCCCCAGCCCTATCCTGCCGGTGATGTACATCAGGAAGAACGTGTCGGCCTGCGCCGGCCGCCACAACTCCATCCGCTCGCTGGAGCACGTGCAGGTGCAGCTGACGCTGTCATACAGCCGGCGCGGGGACCTGGAGATCTCGCTCGCCAGCCCCATGGGCACACGCTCCACACTGGTGGCCATACGGTGAGCGGCCAGCAGAGGGGAGGGGTGGCCTCACGCCCTGTGGGTACATGCTGTCATCTCGCCCCTCCATCCTCACGGCGAGGGGCCAGGCCCACAGGAATCACACGGCAGCCTAGCAGGTGGGACCTCCATGTACGCCCCTGCCCACACCCAGAGGACGCCGCCAGCAGCGCATGAGGCCAGACACCTGATGGGCTCTGAGGGCTTCGCAAAGCCATTCCTCCTGACATGCCCACCCCCGCCCGCCCTTCTGTCCCAGACCCCTGGACGTCAGCACTGAAGGCTACAACAACTGGGTGTTCATGTCCACCCACTTCTGGGATGAGAACCCGCAGGGCGTGTGGACACTGGGCCTGGAGAACAAGGGCTACTATTTCAACACGGGTGAGGGCGGGGCGGGGTTGTGGGGGACGGGGCTGGGCTCTCCGACCTCCCCCCAGGGGCTCTGGTGCTAGCCGTGGTGACCCCACTGAAAAACAGGTTCCCAGTGGTCTTCTCCAAGGGAACATTCGCACAGTAGGTGTGCAGTCACCCGGGAGATGTCAATGTGCAGTGACGGGCACGCAGTAGGTG